CAAAGGAAGTTTCCCTAAAAGAATTTGTATTAACATTATAAGTACAGGAAATCCAACATATATTTTAAACACGTTTCTTATGAGGAGGTGTTTTCCTAAGAGAAGTTTCCCCAAGAGAGGTTGCACTTTATTTTCATCACGAGCTTCCATTTTTGCTCACATCTTGCATTTACTTACGAGAGGTTATACTGTATATTAGATATTACTTTATTTTTCAGTAACAGTAAAACTAATGCTATTAAATTAAAGTTGAAGCTCTGAATTGTCACATTAAAACACGTTCGGTGCGGACTATTACTAAAATAATGATATTTGGTTGTTCATAATTATTATAATGACTTTTTTAAGTATTAAGTTTAGTGATTTAAGATGATCTAGTACAGCGAATAGCAAAGCGTGCATATCTGGGCATTCGCGGGCAGAGCTATAATGTATTTCCTATGAGAGCATAGAGGCAAAGTATACCTTATTTGTCGTCCTTGACAGACCCTGATCTAGTAGCATGGTTATTTTAAAAAAGTTTTAATATGTAAATATTTGAGTATTATTTGTGGCTATATTTATAAGGATTTGTCAAACAAGGAAAAAAGCAAAGAATATGTAAGAATAGTGTTATAGCCATTCATTGAAAGGCAAAGAATGGTCTGTATGTGACTATAATATCATTTTTTGCATTTTTGGTAATCGTATGCTTTATCACAACATTTATGAAATATATATCACATATGATCTCTGCTTATCTGGGATTGTGTTTGTGATAAATCATAGCTGAGATACATTTAGTGTATGTCTTCTAATACAGCCTCAATCCCAGGGCTGTATTGTTGCATCAGTTGTTCATTCATATTGAATGTAATGCATATTTATGTGATTAATAGGAAGAGTCTCTGCTTCGGGTTCAGGCAAATGCATTGATTTGTGTGGAGAGAGTGATCGACAATCTCGACAAGACTGAGATTCTGGACGAAGTGCTGCCTATGCTATCGAAGGCTAAATTATATGATCCATACATTTTGATGCCAGTTATAAGTAAGTGAGAAAGTTTCCTCTTATAAAACTCTCTTTTTCTTTATTATCCATTACCTTATTAACCATACCTTCCATTCAAATCACGTAAAATACCTTTTTAATCAGTATCTCTATAATATTCTACAATTTATTATATTAAAAATTTTAATAATAAGTACTATCAATATGTAGACTATAAAAGTCAGTTGCTATTAATACTGTATTCTAAACACAAGTCTTAAGAAATAAAAGTATTTTTGAAATAATTGTTATTTAATGTTATGAGAAAATGTTATTTTGTGTATTTATGAATACTTCTATAGTGTGTATAATAACTGTTTGTTGAATAAGGATTTGTTATCCAATATATCTATCAATTTGTTAGCAAAGGAAACCTTCTATTGGACTAAAGTAGAAAACAGAGAATATTATGTAACTATTGTTGCCTTACTTAACAGGAATGTACAAACATATGTTGGGGGATAAACGTTATGGACTTACTGTTAATTTATTAGCCACTAAAGTGATGCCAACTCTAATACCTGCTGCCGTCAGCCCTGCATTGAAATTAGATCAGGTCTGTACTCACTTCACGCATATCCCTATTCTCTCTATATTATTACTTTTTATTATTTATTCTCTTTTAAACTAATTTTTCAACTGTTTTATTATTAATCAAAGTAATAAACAGTTAATTATTGGGATATATTGTATAAATGAATTGATATTATAGTTCACACAACTGATGGAGTTATTAACGGAAATGTTGGAACACGTGGAAAAAAGTCAAAGAAATAAGATTAAACTGGAAAAACTCTCGATTCCCTCACAAGAGAAGTACATATTATTAGAAATCTTGGTAAAAATAAGTTGCTAACTGTTATGTGCTCTTCTCAGAGCTGCGCCGCCACAACACACGATAGAGCAGCCAATCGGTTACCCGCATAGACCGCCGTCGTTGCGATTGGAGTCTCGGCGAACATCGATAAGTATGGACGATGTCGTGCGCCGGACGTCATCGGCCTCGGCGTCGTCGAGTCCGGACTCAAATCTACTCCGAGTTCAGGCAAATCTTCCGGGAAGGCGACACTCGGACAACACTATACAACCGCCCAGAATATTGGTGGCGCCTTCCAGTCCCACGAGCTCTTTCTCACTATCTCGAGGTCCGAGCGCTTCAAACCTACATATGAGACGCCACTCAAGTGTTGGGCCACAGGGAACCACAAATGTTGGTTTCTCATTCATGTCGTCCACCACTCATAAGGTATTGGTGTTCACTATTTGCACACTTCGATGACTATTGATCGCATATTTGATTTATTCTTTTCCATTTCCTTTGCCATACGCTCTGTTGGGCAGCCATTCACTGCAAATCTCGGATTAGACTCATTCCTGTCCGGCCGCTCAAGTAGTCGTCGTTATTCAGCGGTTCCCACCTTTAATACAATACCAACCTTTCATCACACAAAGAATACTTCGGCTAATTTACTGCAAACTATCGGATCAGGAGTGGTATGTAATCATAGCATTTGATCGCAAATATTTCATACAATTAATTCACAAACATTTTGAAAACTGCACAATCAGTTCAAAATTCAGGTTTTCTTTGTTTTAATAAACAAAATATTTTTAACCACAATTCATTTATGAAGAATGTGCTATATAGGATCGTTCGGCCACCCTTTCCCCTCTCCATCCTATGGCTAATGTTAAGTCTATAATAGAATAGAAATAAAAATAAATATTGTTAGAAATATTTAAAATGGTGAAAATAACAATATTGAAAACATTCAATTTGAATAGCATTGAAAAATGAGAAATCTTTGATGAATTCCCGAATTGTGGTTAACGGATAGCATTGCTGTGTCTGTGTGTCAGTTGTTTTTATGTTACATTTTCGATCAATTTTGGAAAGTCGAGTGTTTTTCTCATAATACAAACAAATATTATTTATAATATATGAGTATATTATTTATTATTTCTAACATTCCTAACAATTCTATGTTTTTTGAAAAATTTACACCAAATTTGAATATAAATTTTTAATGAATGGTAATTTGTATAGCAATTAATATATTAAATATTATTATATTATCTGAGTTTTTAAAATCGAATATGAAATAATTGTATAAATATTTAATTAAAAATTTAATTATATTTACGACAATTATTTAATAATTTATTTTCTTTTTTGTCAATAGCAACAACTTTTTGGAAAATGAAGTCAATTATAATTAGTTTAGTTTTAAAAGTCGAGTCCGTATTTTCCTCTCTAGGAATCTCTCGTCCATACAATGAATTGTTTGAAAATAAGTTTTTTTTGAGTATTACTAATATAATGATAAGTGTAAGCCTTGGCTTCACTTTCAGTAAATGTGAATTCGTGTGCAAAGAAGTGACGCTCTCTTCCATATGACAAACCAATTCTGGAATTTAAAAATGTAGTCATTTTTTGTTCACTTTTCACTATTCTTTATATAAATCTCAAAATATAATGAATTGAAGTTTTGGTGACAAAAAACCTATTATTTATTACATATTCTATTAAATAGAGTCCTAATATCTCCGACTGAAAACAAATTAAAATATAGTGAGACGACCGCCGCGACCATCATATCTAACTGTATATCCGAGTTGAACAGCTCTTTCCTCCAAAACACTATCACTCTATAGTAATGTTCAAATTGTTTAACTCGAGTACAAGAATTGGTAATTTATGAAAACATTTTATTCCGGCAAATATTAATGTGTGATATTTATGAGTAACATATCGACAGTTTTACCAAAAAATCCCGATTATATGCCCTGACTTTAAAGAGCGTCACTATTATATACACCGCTCATACCTCTCGTATAATCTATAAATAGTATTGATTTTGTTAAATGAAACTCAGATTAGAGAAGAGTTAACGTTATGTCAATAGCTATGGTATGGATTGGAATGGAGTTGTATTTCTTTGGCCATTATAAAAGTGGAGGTGAATTGACAGCCAGTAGTGGACATTAGGAGATACAGCACTGTAGGAAACAGCACTGAAATATATTGTGATGTAAAGTGATTTACTTAGACTTGAAAAGCGAATCTCTAATTGTGATCAACACAACACATGTGAGTCTCTCTCAACAGTATAACAGTATTGAAGTATTGAATGAATAGATAGTTAAGTGTTAATTTGCGAGAAAAAATAAAATTAGTTAATATTGAGGACAATCGTGCAAATGGTTATATAATTATATTTGACTCAAACAAAGTCATTATAATACTCGACATTTCTTTTGAATACAGACTCAATATATGTGTTCATTTGTTTACAACACCTGTACTGTACAGTACTGTACATCACATATCACTACCAATACATCCAATAAATTGTCGCATTCGTCGAAACATTGAATTCATGAAAAACAATGATAAAAACATAATGCAATGTCATATCAAATCATTCATTTATTTGGTATATTATTATTTGTGATTTAACATTCGAGTAGAATTACCATGTTATAACTCCATATTACACCTTAATACATTATAAAGTACTCTCATAATCTCCATGAGGTTATTAATTATTCGGTTATCAAATTAATGTTATACATGTAAAGCTTTATATAAATATACGAAACGTTGATTTATTTTTAAAGATCCTTTATTCATATTGTATTGATTGTATAAACATTGAAATTGTATTCAATTATATTAGGACTAAAAAATTGTTAGATTTACTAAATATTCGCATAAATTATAAGATATTCTATAGATTTACTTATTTGAATGAAAACAAACTATTTTAATGAAAGTAAAAATATAGTAAAAGTTTGTTTAAAATAATATATTTATTGTTTATGTGTTTCTCTTCCATTCAATTCCTTTAATTAATTTTTGCAAATTATATTCCAATCCTTTATTTCCTAATGAATTCAAATGAGAACAACAAAACCTTGTAATTTATTTTTAAGTTTCAGTCATTCTATAGTTAATCCAATCATCATCTTTCTAAATTCTCTCTCTCTCTTCTATGCAATTGGACA